TCTTATATCCGGGTCTCTTATATCCGGGTTACACTGATTTTTTAATATACAAGAACAATATTGTCCTTCCGGACTCCATCGGACTAAATTTGTTACGCTGGTGCGACTGCACATGCGCACAAACGGGGGATGCTGGGAATTTTTTTTTATTTTTTTATTTTTTTTTGTGGGGTCGGTGGTGGGGGTATATAATCTAGGCGATTTCATTTGTATTCTTTTTTTTTTTCTTTCTGTTTCCATCACTTTTGTTATTAGATATCATCATACTGTTATAATAGATCTGCCAGGAATGGTGAAATGTTGTAAGAGCCATGCCGCAAATTTACTATTTGCGATCAAGACATTCAATAAACATTTTCGTCTTAGTGAATAAAATAAACATTTTTTTCTGTCAAAATTGTGGTCAATCTCATTACAGTGAGCAACCAACGCGTTTGACGTATGTTTTATAAAATCTCCCTTTTGTGTTCATATAATCTTTTATTCATATTCCTTGAGGTTTTTCCTATGTATTATAATGACTATTATTACAGGTAAATTTAAGTTTTAGCTTATTTTTTGTTTAGTATTGACTAAGTCTTTTATTGTTTTAGATAAAGAAAAAAATTATACTGAGTTTAGATAAGATCTTTTCAATTGTAGTTGTGATAGAATTAGTTGGCAGGACAATATATATTTTTAACTCATTAGGTTTGTCAAGAGGGACCGCTTTTCTATTTGGAAATATTTTATGAGCCCTTTGTTTCGCATTGATTATAAAATAATTAGGGTATTGAAAATGTTTACAAATTCTGCCCGCTTTAAATAGAATCCGATGATTAAACCGGATTTTATTTTGATGTGATGATGAGAATTGAAAATATATATATATATATATATATATATATAGATAGAGACAGATAATTTTAGTGTTCAATATATATATATATATATATATATATATATATATATATATATATATATATATTATAATAATATATATATATATATATATATATATATATATATATAAATTCCCAAGAGGATAGAATCCAGGTAGAACTCAATGTCCAGGACAGAGTAAGAATATAATTTACTTAAATATTTGTATCTATAAAAATAATTTACTTCAATATTTGTATCTATAAAATAATATATTCTTTTTGAATTTGTAGGTCTGATGATTTGGATCGTGATTACGATTCCAATGTAATAAATTATAACCATGGAATATTAGTGTTTGAGCCTTTTATATTATATCATATATATATATATATATATATATATATATATAAATATTTGAAAATTTTATTGGTTGTATAACATTTTATAACGGCCATGATAAGACCAAACTTATTTTTTATTAATACAAATACAAATGACGGAGAGTTAAAAGGAAAAATGGAAAACAGGCTAGCTAACCGATTTCTAACCAGTGCTAAATTGACATTAATATTTGTATAAATCGTCCGTAAAGTGGAATGGAAAAAATACTCATTAAAAGTAAAATAGTTCTCGATGTATAATAGCAGATTAAAAATTTAAACTAATAATAAATATGCGTTTTGTTCCTCACCATTAGCACAATTTTGAATTTCATGCACGATGCGTGTTGACTGAAATCTCACCCTAGTAAAAGTTAAATTCATATCTATGCCTTACTGTTTAATAGTGGAGCAGTTCATTTATTTACAGAGAAACAATATATCCACATAATCCACATCCATATACAAACATATAAAGATAATTTAAATATAAACGTACACATCTAATATATATTTTCAAATATAATACGCATGCACACATATATAACATTCACATATCCACATAAGCAAATATAAAAGTATATACATCCATTTAGATATACATAAGTATATTTCAATACATTTATACGTTATTTTTATAGATGCAAATATTTAAGTAAATGCTCTGTTCATAATAAACAGTATTAAAAACATTTGCCGGTTTGAATGTACGAGAAAATTTCTGAGAAAATATGCGTTCTCCGACAAGAATCGACCCAGTATCCTACACTGAACCGTCATATAACCAGACGTGCTATACCAATTTAGCTACGGAGGAGCCTCTGGTTAACAAGGTCGATTTCACTGCTTTAAATTGATTTCCTTCGAACGTCCATATCTGCTCGAAGCGTATCTAGACGTAAAGAAAAGACGTCACACGCTACGAAATGGACAAAGTCCGACATTATTTTAATATATTTTATTGTTATACGTTAATTATATAGACACAAATATTTAAGTAAATGCTCTGTTTATAATAAACAAAATTAACAACATTTACCGGCCTGAATGTCCGAGAAATTTCATAGAAAATATTTCCTCTAACAGGAATCGAACCTGTATCCTACACGGAACCGTCATATAGCTGAGCGTGCAATACCATAACTGCAGAGGAAATGCCTGGTTAGCAAGGTCGATTTTACTGCTTTTAAACTACAAATTTCCCATGATTCGATTCCTGTCGTAGGACACATATTTTCTATGAAATTTCTCGGACATTCATGCCGGTAAATAATGTTAATACTGTTTTATCTATGAAAATAACGTATAAACAGAAAATATATTAAAATAATTGTCAGACTTAGTCCATTTCATAACATAGGTATATATAAATAATTTATTACAATTTATATCGACATACCTACTGTACATGACTGCAGCCATATAAAAAAGCAGATACACACATATAAACATACATCCATACACATCTGTTCATAAAATATCAGTAAAAAATATATATATATATATATATATATATATATATATATATATATATTTAAACCAATAAATAAATCGATTAAATCAATATATATCCACACACACACATATATACACATCTTTAGGTATATACACAAACACAGTCACCAATAAATACATATTTAAATAGATATATACATGTACATATATGTCACTCCCAATGCATTCCATGTATATATTATAATGTTAACTTATACACACTTTACATAATTACATAATACAAACACATACATATGAATTACGTAATTACATTTACATACATATGGATGCATACTTTTATAGAAATAACACATATTCAATATTACATATTATAAATTAGATAATATATACATACATACATAGAAGAAAATACAAATGCACTTACACATATTATATAATTGGACATAGTTAAGTGTAATTTGCAAAAAATTCCCAACAAACGCAATTGACAAATGTTTCAATGAATAATAACAATAAAGAAAAGGACGGGGCAAATTGATACTAAGCATACTATATATATATATATATATATATATATATATATATATATATATATATATATATATATATATATATATATATATATATATATATATATATATATATATATATATATATATATATATATATATATATATATATATATATATATATATATATATATATATATGTAAATGTATAGGTAATAACTGTTGGTATATAATCCAAGCAAATCCTAATCATATAAAATAATAAATTGATCCACAAAGAACTTAGTAAACCGAATGGGTAATTCCAAGAAGGATGAAATCCTGAGAGCTCAATGTGAATACAGAGCTAATATTTAATGAAAAAACAGACAACTTTAAGGTACCATTACAAAAATTTATTTCAACAAAATCCTTTTTAAAAAGGTTTCCGGATCATCAGGTAACAATTCCATCAACGAAAACCGTTGTTGGAATTGTTACCTGATGATCCGGAGTCCTTTAAAAAGGATTTTGGTGAAATAAATTATTGTAATGGTACATTAAAGTGGTCTGTTTTTTCATTATATATATATATATGCAAAATAAATGTTCACAAATTAACAATGGTGTTCACATGCAAAAGGGATACAGTAAAACGATTGTAGCCTTATAACTTCAAGACCAGAAAGAACAACAATATGGTGGATGAGACCAAGAAGAGGCTTATTTTATTGCCTAGGAAGAAATCCCAGCATGCATCTGCACGGATTGTCTATAAATTTGGGTAGGGGATGTTTTTTGGCGACCATTCCCATTTGATCTCATACTAACTCAGTTATTTAATTTATTCTAATATTTGTTTTATTTTCTTTTTATTTATTTATTTATTTTGTTTATTGGGTTCATCCCCAAGGTCATTTCATGTTAGTTTTGAAAAAATACATATGGAAAATTTTTAACACCGTGGTTTTTTTAGTAAAACATCGGCGAAGATGTGCTCTCTCTCTTTCTTTCTTTCTTTCTCTCTCTCTCTCTCTTTCTCTCTCTCTCTTTCTCTCTCTCTCTCTCTTTCTCTCTCTCTTGGATTGGATGGAGAAGGATGGATGAGTAAAGAAATTGTAAGAGTGAGTGGGTCACGAGTCGGATTAGCTAGGTGTAGGATAGTTAGGCTCGATCAGCCTTTCCCGACTTCCCCTTAGGTCTTGTGCGAGAAAAGTATATATTTTCATGTTTTCAAAAACATTCTCATTGGATTGTAACCAACACCTACTAGCAACAATACATAAAATCTGAACATAAAAACATAACATAAATTTATATATATATATATATATATATATATATATATATATATATATATTTGGTTGGATAGGAAACCTTTTACTACTGAAAAGAACGATAATTTAAATGAATGACGAATGTTTCCTTATAAGGAAACGACTAATTTTACCATTATCATGTGTTTGATATTTACTATAAGATTGTGTTTGCATGTATGGAGTGACTATATTCAGCGTAAAAAAATAGCTTTTTTATTTGCCTTTGTAGTTGGAAAAGCATGTTTATTGAGTCGTTTTCTACGGCCTGTCAAACGTTTGTATGTTATTTAAAGCTAGAATATATTTTTAGATTGTAAAAATTCTTTTTAAAGAAATAACAATGGTTTAGGGATACAATTCTTACTAATTAACCTATAAGTGGGGGAGAAATGGTGGCGTCACACCTTTCCCAAAGTGCACGTAAGGGAATATAACAGACGCAACATGAATTGGAACTCGGCTCTCTGCTTAACAATTCCGAGCCATTATCTAAGCGTGGTATTCCCAAGCGTTTACCCATTTAAGTACTACCCAAGGTCGATGATGCTTAACTTCGTTGATCGTACGGGAATCGATGTTTCGACGCTTTAACCGCTTTAGTAGTTTCTTTAAATTCTATCCGATAGTAGTGATTTTCCAAGCGTAGCTCAGATGTGGCACAAGGCCGAATGTATGGGGCACCCAGTGAGGATCGAACTCAGTCATAATTGTTCTAGCGAGACAGACCTTGCTAAGCATTACATTCCTTCGGGGTACCCCTACTCCAATAAAATAGCGATTTTCCAAGCGTAACTTAGATGTGGCACAAGGCTGGAAATATGGGGTATCCAGTGAGGATCGAACTCACTACTCAGTCATAATTGTACTAGCGAGACAAACCTTGCTAAGCATTACATCCCCTCGGGGTACCTCTAGTCCAATAATATAGCGATTTTCTAAGCGTAGCTTAGATGTGGCACAAGGCTGGAAATATGGGGTATCCAGTGAAGATCGAACTCACTACTCAGTCGTAATAGTTCTAGCGAGACAAACCTTGCTAAGCATTACACCAGCCCGAGGTGCCCAATTCTATCCGATAGTAGGACTGACTTCTTTGTCAATGAATGACGAATGTTTCATTATAAGGACGATGTTTTGCGCTTCATATTTTCTACAAGATTTTGGTGCGAGAAGGACGTGACTATTTTCAGCGCAAAAAAAAAAGCTTTTGATTTTGTACTAGGGTAAGGCATGAACCCAGCTTTTTCTACTAGTTTATAAAAAAACACTTGTTATCATGAGGAAGAAAGCGAACAAACACTCGCTGCCCTGTGTGAGTATAATTTCGCTCTACCGAAGAGTCATATTAATCTTTTTTTCGATTTTCTTTAATTCTTTATTTTTCTATTTTTTTTTTTAATGTTTAAATTTTATTTTATTGTATTGTTTTTTTTCTTCCCCTACTCGTCAGTATGTTTGCCCATAATTACACATTTTGTCCTAATCATTCTAACCTATCTGATGGTTCCGTTTCGAAAGAAAAAAAATCAGAAAAGGGGAAAACTAAATGTCTTTGGCTCGATGCGAAAGTGTTTCGTCAGTATTCTCATGATTTAATGGCCGACTATTCTTGCTTGATAAAATTTCTGAACTTGGAATTGTTTACAGTATTTACATTAGTCGGACTATTGTCCCCATCTTTGTCGCCATATTTGTGCCACAACGTTTCGGCCGTTGTACGCTCTTTTTCTTCAGGTGGTTGGAATTTCGAACTGAACCCTTTATTTCGATCGCTGGGGTAGACTGTTCTAATTCCACGTGCCATGTTTGATGGATGTCAGTTATCAGTTATCTCCTGCTAATTTTCCTCTGAAAGTTCTCCACTGCCTTAACCAGGAATTGAACTCACAGGAATTTTGGGTCTGTCACTGGATCTAACCAACGCCTTTATCCACTGTGCCATGTGTCCTTGAGGACATCTGGGTATGAACTTCTGAGTATTATAAACCTAATGTTTTCAGCATCATTTTTACCAGTGCTCATATTGCAATTTTTCTGTTATCATTGCATGTCTTTACCAGGAGTTCATATTGCAACTTTTTTGTTATCATTTTTAAAAATCCTTATTACTGGTTCCCATATTGTATTTATTTCTATGCTTGGTCGGCTCAGGAGATTTTTGTGGCCTAGCATATGTGCTGATTCTTAAGTTTACGAATTTTCCAATGGTGTTCCCCTGTCTATGATCTCAACATGATCCCATAGGGGCGGTGATCTCCTTTCTCTCCATATGTGGTCAGCCCGCCTGATTTTTTCTACTTCCCTCGCGTTACAGCTTTCTGGTGTTCTTGAAGCCTTACCTTGAAGGCCTGTCTCTCCTTTATATTCCTTTCCGCAGCTATGTCCATGCCATGTTCCTCAGGACACATGGCACAGTGGATAAAAAGGCGTTGGTTAGATCCAGTGACAGACCCAAAGAAGGTGAGTTCAATTCCTGTTAAGGCAGTCTTTCAGAGGGAAAATTAGCAGGAGATAACTGATAACTTGAGATCCATCAAACATGGCACGTGGAATTAGAACAGTCTACCCCAGCGATCGAAATAAAGGGTTCAGTTCGAAATTCCAACCACCTGAAGAAGGCCGGAGCGTACAACGGCCGAAACGTTGTGACAAATATGGCGACAAAGATGAGGACAAGAGTCCGACTTGTAAATACTGTACATAATACCTCATCTCAGAAATATAGACAAAGATGAAGGATCGGTACGGACCCGATATACCAAAAATATGGAGAAAAATTGAGAAATCCTACCAAAAACTGGCACGAATATCGAACCATCTGACATTCCTACACCGATGCAGAGACCTACAACTCATCCCTTCAGGCTTGGCACCAAGACTTCCTATCAATTCAAGGAGAGCTCGTCGGGTCGCAGAGAAAGCGGGACACGCCCTTGTCCGAGAGAGAATCCAGTACAACCGTTGGATGAAACATCGAGTACATGCTCATATCTCCCAGACGCTCGAGGATCTCTTCAACAGAATTACCAATGAAGAAGACCAGAGAAGGATCCAAAATGACCTGGATAAATCCTTCAGACATGAATTTGAAGTAGTCAAGGCTCGCCAAGTGCAAAAATTAAATAGATTGAAAGATCAGAAGGTGACGCACAAGGTCCATCACCCACCAGTGAAAGCAGTAGTCAACATCAGCCAATATCAGCTGAGTGCCTCTGAGGAAGTATTGAATAAGGGTCTCAACTTCGCCACAACCATCAGGCGGGTGCCATTTGGACATCATTGCCAGAGAGAGGAGGTGGCCTTGAACATCCTCAGGCTCAGGCGGATGAAATGAGATGGAAAGTGAGACAGGCCTTGGAGAGAGCCAAGCTGCCCAGGTCTAACATAACAAAACTGAGAGACTGGCGATTGAATCACTACAGAGGAATGAGAACATCATCATACTACCGGCTGACAAAGGTAATGCGACTGTAGTGATGGACAAACCGGACTATACAAGAAAACTGGAAGACCTCATTAGCAATGGTAGCTACAGCATAATGGAAGAAAAGATCCTTATATGAAAACGGAACGCAAACTGTCACAGATCCTAATCAAGAACAAGGATCACTTCGCACCCAAGACGTATAGGCAGTTATCGCAGCGTTACAGCAAGTTACCTCACACATACGGTCTCCCTAAGATTCACAAAGACGGTATTCCACTCAGGCCGATTGTTAGTTGCCAAGGCTTGTGCCACCCTCTGAGTCGCTTCCTTGTAGATATAATTGACCCATTGATCGGAAAGTCTCCTTCATATGTCCGAAACTCCGCCCACTTCGTGGAAATAATCAAAGATGCTCCCATTCTATCCAACCAGATGGTGAGCTTGGACGTGGTGAGTCTGTTCACCAAGGTACCCACGGAGGAGGCACTCTCAGTAGTCAGAGATAGATTAACCTCTGACTCTTCCCTAGAGGAGCGGACCAGTATTCCAATAGATAATCTGATGGAGATGTTGACTTTCTGTACAACAAACAACACACTTCGGAATGGGATCTCACATATATCGACAGGATGAGGGCTTAGCAATGGGCTCGCCATTATCACCAGCAATGGGCGAATATATACATGGAATACTTTGAAGAAATGGCATTAGAGTCTATATCGCTAAAGCCAACTATATGGTTACGGTACGTAGATGACACTTTCATACTTGGCCACAGGGGACCATGTGAACTCAATAAGACCTTCGATACAGTTCACAATGGAGAAAGAGAGTAACAACTACCCCATTCCTGGATGTACTAATATCTCGAACAGAGAATGGGTTCAAGACATCCGTATACCGTAAACCAACATTCACTGGACAGTACCTCAATTTCAACTCCCACCATCCATACAGCGTAAAGAAAGGGGATCGTCCGATGCTTACAAACATCGAGCAAAAGTCATAAGTGGCGATCCAGAGACGTTAGATATGAATTTCAGTATAAGTAGTTCTTACAACGCAACAACTACCCTGGTACATGGCAGCAGCCCCAAAAAACTGGGATATTTCTGCCTGCCTTATGTGAAGGGTTATCAGAGAAAATACAAAAGATCTGCGGTCCATATAACATCAGGACAACCTTCAAAAGCGTGACAACACTTCGCAGGGTATCTCTCACGAGTGAGACCCCCATAGAGAGGAACATGACCAAAAGACTGTGTATACCATCCCATGCAGCTGCGGAAAGGAATATAAAGGAGAGACAGGAAAAAGGCTTCAAGAACACCAGAAAGCTGTAACGAGGGGAAGTAGAAAAATCAGGCGTGGCTGACCACATATGGAGAGAGAAGGAGATCACTTTGTTGAGATCATAGACAGGGGAGGTAAACTTAAGGAATCAGCACATATGCTGGGCCACAAAAAATCTCCTGAGCCGACCAAGCATAGAAATAAATACAAATATGGGAAGTAATGCCAGAGAAAAGCAATGATTTACATGAACTCTAGTAAAGACATGCAATGATAACAGCAAAAAATTGCAATATGAGCACTGGTAAAATGATGCTGAAAAAACATTAGGTTTATAATACTCTGAAGTTCATACCCAGATGATCAAGGACACTTTGGATAAAGGCGTTGGTTAGATCCAGTGACAGACCCAAAGAAGGTGAGTTCAATTCCTGTTAAGGCAGTGGAGAACTTTCAGAGGGAAAATTAGCAGGAGATAACTAACTGACATCCATCAAACATGGCACGTGGAATTAGAACAGTCTACCCCAGCGATCGAAATAAAGGGTCTAGTTCGAAATTCCAACCACCTGAAGAAGGCCGGAGCGTACAACGGCCGGAAACGTTTGAATAAAATATGGCGACAAAGATGAGGACAATAGTCCGACTAATTAATCACTGTACATAATTTTCATCTCAGAAAATAGACAAACTTTGGAATTGTTTTCGCCACTATTCTTTCTCCTGTTCTTAATTTTTATTGAAAGCAAGCCCACTATTTGGTGAGGGCGGTGGATTGGCCGTTGATCACCCCCACCCCAATCAGGTCGATGCTTGGACTTAAGGTAAGCTGTACATTCACTTGTTATCATGAGGAAGAAAACGGA